CCGTCTTAACTTAAAAGTAAAATTAAGCTAGGCATGAAGATGCATGCCTGTAATTCCATCACTGAGGAGGCTGAGGCAGAAGGTTCTTGAATTCAAGGCTATCCTGGGCTACAAAGTGAGACCCTGCCTGAAAAACTTAATAAATAAATAATAAAATCAGGTATATTTCCTAAGACAGTTAAAAGTTTGAGGTGTTGTCCTCTTCCTTAAGGGTAATTATTATTGGGGCTCCTTTCTAGCCCTAATAGAAAAACTTGGTTTTCAGATTAATCTTATACTATACCTATTAGCGTCATCAATGTCTATCTCAAGACCTAAGCCAGAACAGAGGAGTCCTGGCTCTGTGCAAACGTGGGGAAGCCGCGCAGTGACCTGTCTTCCTCACAGTCCTTACCTAACTAGATTCCCTCAGGAATCAAACAGTAAGTCTTGCAGAGGCTCCACTGACAAAAAATGAAAATGAGACAAACCTGAGAATGGACAAGAAAGGCCTCTGTTCTGAGACTATACAATGTCCTTAAAACAACAATGTGGGCCCTTCTGCTGGTTTCTTTTCTTTTCTTAAAAAATTAGTAACAAGCTTGCTTCACATGTCAATCCCAGCTCTTGGAACACAGCTACATCCATTCATTTGTGTATTTCCCACGCATGTTTTTGTGCAGAGTTGAAGCCCTACAGAGATCTTACCTGCAAAGATGAGATCTGGCTTTTTTGATTTTCCCAAAAACACTGTGATGCACTCTTTTTATTGTTATTCTCTAAGGAGACAAACCATGGGTATTAAAGGACAGGCAGTCCCTCTTTTAAGGAAGGGTCTCTGTGTAGCCTAGGCTAGTTTCTAACTCAGGATCCTCCTGCCTCATTCTCCTGAATACTGAAATTAAAGTTACGTGCCACCATATCCAACCAGTTTTCAGGTGATGGACTGACAAGTGTGCCTGCATCGCTGTCCTTACCACACCAAGTCACCCCACTTATTCACACCTCTGTGGTATCTGTGCATAATCTAGCTCACCAGACTGCCTCACATGGTAAAGGAAGCTCCCCCAGAGAGGTTGACAACTTGTTCAATGTTGCAAGGCAGGGGAAGCCAAATCCTTTGGCTCCTAGTGTGACTGTTTGCTCCCGAATCACAGTGGGTTGGTTAGTTCAGCACTGTTGGATTTGATGGTTCCAAAGAGCCAGCTCTGCCAATGTACAGGTGTGTCCATACTTCCCTCTAAAACAAAGGCCCTCCTCCAGGCTATTAATTAGGGCCTCACATCTCAGAATTTCTGTTACCTCCAGCCGAGAAGTGGGGATTTCCCCCTTCAAAGCTCAAACCATAAGCTTCCTGGAACTCTCTCATTTCCCACGCCCGTCCAGCAATCTATATAGCAAAGTACTCAGAAAACTGTTAAGTAAAGGTGCCAGGCCACAGTACAGCCGAAAGGGGGTTCCTGAATGAGCAGTGCAATGCACTAAGCACTGTTTGTGGGTTCATGTTATCCCAATGAGGTGGCCTTGGTTTGCCTCAAGTGTGACTTCATCTTCTGGGAGTCTCCCTGCCCATCTCCTGCATAAACTCACTCCTCTAATTTCACCTGTGGAGTCCTTGCCCCACCCCTCTGACTATCCTTCACTTCTGTCCTCAGGTCAAGGTACCAACTACTTCCCTCCCTGGGACTTAGTCCCTCAGGAATAGACTTTTCACCAGAGGCTTCTGATGGTTTTCCTTCACCAGTCATAACCACGTCCCCAGTGCCCCACTAGCCCCCAGGAATGTCTAGAACTAGCCTTCCCACAGTCTAACCGTCTTCGATTTTGTTAAACCCTCCCTGTCTCTGAATCAACACCAGTGGCTCTTCCTGCAGTTTGTCTGGCTACCTACAACTCCTGCTTGGAGCAACTATGCTAAAGACAGGTGAAAGGTGTGTCCCAGAGCCAGCAGGTGGAGATGGCTGTCAGGGGTTTGAGAGTCCCTGGCTTCTCTGAAAATCCTTGGGTCAACATATTTGAGAACTGATATTCTAATTATGGATTTAGGGACCAGTAATAGGCTAAATTGACTTTTTAATTTACCTTAAGAGGAAATTAGGAATATAATTTGGGTTCTATTTAAAATAGTTTTTAATTTTGGAAAGCAATCCTTAATGTCTTACATGCCACATTTTTACTTTTTTGTTTGTTTGTTTTGTTTTTCAAGACAGGTTTCTCTGTGTAGCCCTGGCTATCCTGGAACTCGCTCTGTAGATCAGGCTGGCCTTGAATTCACAGAGATCTGAATGCCTCTGCCTCCCGAGTGCTGGGATTAAAAGTGTGCACCACCACCACCCCACCACATTTTCTTTTGATTCCTTCTTACAGCTGTGTTGTGACAGTGTTTATAAACCATTTTAAATTTTAGAAAGTAAACCACCAGGATCATTCTTCCTCTAAACTAGCAGTTTTTGAATTCTGTTAAGTCAACAGAACCTTGTCATTAAACAAAATTTTAACAGTTCCCCCTTTTTAAAAAGTTGAGTTTTGGGGGAGTAAGTAACCCCAAAACATTTCTACAGTGCCTATGTGTGGTAGCAAACATGGATACTTACAATCAAACTACATTTTGTCACATCTAAGATACCAACTATCATCAAGACAAAACATGAGGGCTGGGGAGTTGACTCAGAAGTTGAGACACATACTGCTTTTCTAGAGGACAGGGTTCAGTTCCCAGAACCTGCATCGGGCAGCTTCAGAGGTCCTGCTGCCTCTGACCTCCTTGAGCACCCAAACACATGTGCACATACCCACACACAGACTTACACATATACATGCAATTAAAAGTAAAAATTCAAAAAGACATACTGAAGGAAAGAAAACACCCTGCACTAAACCTATAGCATCCCACTGTTACAAGACACAACCAAAGTGAATACAGTAATCATGATTTCTATGTGTATTTATTTTTACTATATAACTCATTATCAATTCATTTTAGAATACAACTCCTATATAACTGGAATTGGTGATTTGTGATAACATAAGTAAATGTGAGTACAAACCAGGTTTGATTTACATGATCTACATGAAAGTTAACTTAAAAAAAAGTTAGCAACAGTTTCTGGTATTCACTGCACACTACTGAGTATAATGGCAATTGAGAGATTTATCTGGACACTCTTGGCCTTCCTTCCATGTCTTCACAGTCCCATTCATGAACTGCTGGCCAGGCACAGTATGGGGTGCTGTATAGTGCTGTCAGAGGTGATTCAGATACACAGAAAAAAAACATTTTTTAAATTTTTTTATTCATGTAAGTGTACCCCATGCATACCTGGGCATCAGATACCCTGGAACTGAAGTCATAGGCATTTGTGAGCCACCTTGTGAGTGATGAGAACTGAACTCAAGTCCTCCTCGAGAAAGGAAAGCGCTCTTAACTGCTGAGCCATTTCTCATTTTCATAAGGTCCAGCCACCTGGAACCATTTTATAGTCTTAGGAAACCTTAGATGGAAACCGTGGTTGGAGAAAGAAGAGTCAAATGTCAGTGTCACCAAGGAAGGTAACGATTCTGCACAAAAGAACAATGCCATACTTCTCTGTCAGAACAATCCAGTCCTGTGGGGTGCATAAGGAAACCTCACAAAAACATGGACCCCTCCCTGCTGGGGGCATGGCTAATCTCTCCCATCAGCCAACCCTGGGCCCAAAGCCAAGCTGCTCTAGACCTGCCTTAACACACAAATCTCCTAAAGGAGTGCATCCCTGGCCTCCACCCTCAGTTTCTTCAAGATCCAGAGATCAGAAACCGAGATCTGTCAGGTGTTGTGGCACTACCAGCACTTGGGAGGCAGAGGCAGAGGCAGGTGGACCTCTGTGAATTTGAGGCTAACCTGGTCTATAGGGAGAGTTCCAAGACAGCCAGGGCTACACAGTAACCTTGTCTCAAAAAAAAAAGGGGGGGGGAAGAAACTGAGATCTAATCCCAAGTAAATCAGCCCTAAGACTTTTTATATAAAGAGATATAATTTCATAATGGTAAAAAAAAGTTCAAAACCCAACCCAATCCATATTATCCCCAACAGAACCAAACCCTGCACAGACCAAAGTAATTTTAGAAACACCATAGCTTCGGTTTCTTTTCTTATAAATGAGGCTTGATGATATTTCCTTTCTAGGAGTGTCAGAGTCAGGACTTTTTAAAAAATGTAGGATTTCATAAAATTAAACAGCTTCTGCCCAGCTAAAGGATAATCAACCCAGTCAGGAGGAAGTCCACAGAGTGGCATAGAACCTTTGTCAATCATCCATCTGACAGAGGATTATTACCCAGAATATATAAAGAAAAATGTTCCCTCTGAGAGCCAAAGGCCACCTGACCATGACCCCAGCACCAGTCAAGAGGGTGAGAAGCCCTCTTTTGAGATGTTGGGCAAGGTTGTCTAAGAGACTCCCAGAACATTATAGACTATTCCTATTGCCCTTGGTTGCCCCCAGAGGTAGAAGGGAAGTTGTACTTCAGACACAGTGCCCCAAGACCCCTGAGCTGAAACTGACCTGGATGCCCCTCCCTGGGGACTAGCTCTCATGGCTCCAGAAGGATTCATGAAAGCTTCCAAAGGAGGAAAGCAAACAACAGTCCTACCCAGCCACACCTATGAACCATAACAATGACCACAAGGCCTTAATCCTACACAAATAACTACAGACAACTAAGGGATGCAGAGAGCAAGAGAAATCATTTTCCCCAGGATAGGACACACCAGTTGGCTATCCAATGCCGAATACTCAGCCTTGAAAACATACAAGCAAGTGACATTATACAGACGGAGCAGACTATATTTAGGAACATATATATGTATATACATATATGCTTGTAACAACAATTAATGAAAAGAGAGGCCATAAATTTGAAAAAGAGCAAAGAGGAAGTGTTTAGAGGCAGAAAGGGGGAGGAGGAAATGATGTGATTGCATTATAATCTCAAAAAGTAAATAATAAAAAAAAGAAAAGTTTTTTTCAGAGAAAACTTACCGGCCACCACGTCATACTTCGGCCTGCCAGGAAGAAGCCTCCAACAGTCCCACGATTAGTGGAAAACATAGCCTGAGGGAGAGAGAATCAAAATTTAACAGGAAACTAGAAGAGTGACTTCGACGATGAAAGACCATACCCCGCTAATGAGCACTTTCTTGTATCCATTCCACTTTGTGAAGCACTTTTCATTCCTTATCTGCCCCTCCCACCCCAGCCTCAGCATGCTCACATGAAGACACTCATAAATACTCATTTATATTTGACAGACAGGGAAACTGAGGCCCTAGAACTAGCTCTGCAGCTATCTTACCACACGGCTTCTGAGCAAGTCACCCCCTGGACCTGTTCGCTTGTTTTGTTTGCAAGTTAAACAAGGGGAATGGGATATTTTTTGTTTCTTACATGCATACCAAAATGTAATGAAGTATCATATCTTTAAAAAGTACTAAAGGGAGGCTGGGCGTTGGTGGCGCACACCTTTAATCCCAGCACTCAGGAAGCAGAGGCAGACGGGTCTCTGTGAGTTTGAGACCAGCCTGGTCTCCAGAGCGAGTGCCGAGAGAGGCTCCAAAGCTACAGAGAAATCCTGTCTCGGAAAAAAAAAAAAAAAAAAAAAAGTACTAAAGAGTATATAAATTATCTCAATAAAGCTGTTAAGAAAAAAATTAAAATGTAAGAATCCAAAGTGTTAACACTTAGTCTTACTTAAAAGAAAAGATATCCCAGCTCAATTCAGCTCTTTTCTCTATGAATATACATAGGAGCTCGCTAAGGTCATTAATTTACAATATATTGTGACTAAGTTCAGACGGCATGAGGAAAGGCCTTCTGATGGCAAGAAATACTTTACATAGAGGTGTGTTTCCTGAGTCTTGAAGGAAAGGTGGGGTTTTGTTAATCTGGGTGGGGGGACATGGAAGAGAGGGGGAGATTTCAGACTTCAGAAACAGCAGATCAAAGTTGAGGTGGCGTGGTACCCAGTTTGTGGAGAAAGGGGTGGCAAATGATGCTAGCTGTTGAGCCTGGCTGAGGCACATGAGTGTGGACAGGATGAAAGTGAGACAGAATTAAGACTCTTGAAAGCCAGGCCAAAGATCACAGGCTTTATTCACAGACCCGGGGAGCCACTGAAGATTTGGGAGTTGGCAAATGACCTATATCCCCAATACAGGATGAGCAGCCTCTCTCACAGCTCCTCTGGAATTGCCACCTCTGAACCTGCAGTCATTCCTGGCACAGCCTTTGGCTTAGTGCCATTGGCTTGGCTTCTAGGTCTCTTCCTCCTCTCTCTCTTTCTCAACCCCTGCCTCCTTTGTCCAGACACTCACTAATGACTGATAGTGGCTTTGCTCTTATCAGTGGTCCAAAGGAATTAACCTCTGATGTCATTCCTGTACAAACGTGTCTGCAACAGGTACACCCTTTTAGGTGTGCAGACTGCATGGGGGTGGGGGTGGAGGGGTAGCTGGAGTCTTTTGAGAGGAAGGTGTTATGCATTCAGTCAATCGGCAAAGATGTGTTAAGCACCTCTGTGTGTCAGGAGTACCAGCAAGAGCACTCAAGTCTTTCTTGACTCCTGCCAGTTTCCTTTCTTCCACCAGTCATACTCTGAAGACTTGGTGGTGGTCTTTCTGGGAATAGCAAGGTGGCAAACAGACCCAAGGAGCAGAAAAGTTAGCTGACACTGAAACAGAAACAAATACTAAAGATTTAGGCTCTAGAAATTAACTGGGAAAGATCACTGTGGAGATAATTCTGAAGTTAGAAACCAAAGAAAGGAACACCAACCCAACAATGAGACCAGACATCATCACCTAGAATTACAATCATGCCAAACCCAGATGCCAACACACGGATGTAAAAACACAATAATAGCAACCAGGCTAACCTGTCTCCACTGCAGCCCAGCAATGCTACCACAGGAGGCCTGAGAAGTCAATGTAACTGAAGCCCAAGACAAGGATCTCAAAATAGCTGTTAGGGATATGTGAGAGGCACTTGAAGAAAAAATGAATAAATCCATTAATGAAAACACAAAAAGTGGAGTGAAAAGTGGAAGAAAATAGTTCAAGACTCACAAGTGGAAATAGAAATAATAAAGAAGATCCAAACTAAGGGAAAACTGAAAATGAAAAATATAGGAACTCAAATAGGAAACACAGAGGCAAGCCTCACCAACAGACCACAAAAGATGGGAGAGAGAATCTCAGGCATTGAAGACAAGATAGAAGAAATGGACACCTGGGTTAAAGAAAATGTTAAAGCCTTAAAAATCCAGGTTCAAAGCATCCAGGAAATCTGGGACACCAGGAAAAGACCAAATCTATAAACAATAGGAATAGAAGAAGGAAAAAAGGCCCAGGTCAAAGCCCAGAAAATATTTTCAACAAAATCATAGAAGACAGTTTCCCTAACCTAAAGAAGGAGATGCCTGTCAAGGTACAAGAATAATACAGAACACCAAATAGACTAGGCCAGAAAAATAAATTCCCCTTGGCTCTTAATAATCAAAACACTAAGCATACAAAACAAAGAAAGAATATTAAAAGCTGCAATGGAAGCCGGGTGTTGGTGGTGCACACCTTTAATCCCAGCACTCAGGAGGCAGAGACAAGCGGATCTCTGTTCGAGGCCAGCCTGGTCTCCAGAGCAAGTGCCAGGATAGGCTCCAAAGCTACACAGAGAAACCCTGTCTCGGAAAAAAAAAAAAAAAAAAGCTGCAATGGAAAAGACCACATAGCATATAAAGGCAGACCTATTAGAATTACATTTGACTTCTTGATGGAGACTCTAAAAGCCAGAAAGGCCTGGATGGTGTTAAGCAAACTTGAAGAGAACATAAATGCTAGCCGACTATTATAGCTAGCAAAACACTAAATCACAATAGATGGAGAAAGAAAGATGTTCCATGTTCCATGGTAAAGCCATATTTAAGCAGTATCTATCTACAAATCCAGCACTACAGAAAGAGCTAGAAAGAAAAATTCAACCTGAAGAGGCTAACCACACACAAGAAAACACAAGGAAAAATCCCACAACAACAAAATAACGGGAACCAACAAACACTGCTCATGGATATCTCTCAACATCGATGGTCTCAATTCTCCACTAAAGGACACAGAATAACAAAATGGATGCAAAAACAGGATCTATCCTTCTGCTGTATCAAATAAATACACCTTAACATCAAGGATAGACATCATCTCATAGTAAAATGATGGAAAAACATATTTCAAGCAAATGGACCTAGAAACAAGCTAATGTAACCATTTTAATATCTGACAAAGCAGACTTCAAACCACAGCTAATCAGAAGAGACAGGGAATAACACTACATACTCATCAAAGGAAGATTGCAATTCTTAACAGCTGGTCCCCCAAACACAAGGGTACCCAAGTTCATAAAAGAAATACTACTACAGCTTAAATCACATATTGTCCCTCCCACACTGATGGTGGGAGATGTCAATACCCCATTCTTACCAACAGATAGGTCATCCAGACAAAAACTAAACAGAGAAATTCTGGATCTAACTGACATCATAAACCAAAGGGACCTAAAAGATATTTACAAATTTCACCAAAACACAAGAGAACATACCTTCTTCTCAACAGCTCCAGGGAACTTTCTCCAAAATTGACCACATACTTGGACACAAAGGAAGACACAAAAGATACAAGAAAATTAAAATAACTCCCTACATCCTATCTGACCATCACAGATTAAAGCTGGATATCAACAACAACAGAAATCTTACAAACTCGTGGAAACTGAAGATCTCACTAGTGAATGAAAAAAATTAAATTAATTAAAGACTTTCTAGAATTGAATGAAAATGAAAACACAACATGCCCAAACTTATGGGAATCAATGAAACAGTTCTAAGAAGCAAGGTCATAGCACTAAGGGCCTACATTTAAAAAAATTGAAGAGTTCTTATATTAGTAACTTAACAGCACACCTGAAAACTCCACAACAGAATAGACCACACCCAAAAGAAGTAGAAGGCAAAAATAATCATCATGATTGAAATCAGTAAAACAGAAAAATATGAAGAATCAATAAAATCAAGAGTTGATTCTTTAAGAAAACCAATATAGTTAGCAAATTCTAAACCAAATTAACTAAAGGTGGAGAAAGAAAACCCAAATTAACGAAATTAGAGGCAAAAAGGGCAATGTAACAATAGACATCAAGGAAATCCAGAGAATTATAAGGGCATACTTTAAAAGCATGTACTCCAACAAATTGGAAAAATCTAAAAGAAATGGATAATTTTCTTGATATATACCATCTACCAATGTTAAATCAAGATCAAATAAAAAATTTAAACATATATAACCTCTAATGAAATGGAAGTCAAAATTAAAAGTCTCCCACCAAATTAAATAATTAATAATAAAGAAAGAAAAGTCCAGGGACAGATGGTGTTGTTGGTGCATAAATTTACCAGACTTTCAAAGAAGAGTTGATGTCAGTACTCCCCAAATAATTCTATGAAATAGGAACAAAGGAAACATCACCCAATTCATTTTATGAGGTCACAGTTACTCTGATACCCAAACCATATAATGACCGACCAAAGAAAGATAATTACAAACTAATTCCCTCATGAACATAGATGCAAAGATTCTCAATAAAATACTTGTAAACTAAATCCAAGAATACATAAAAAATATCATCCACCATGTTCAAATAGGGTTCATCTCAGAGACGCAGGGATGGTTCAACATATGAAAATCTACAAATGTAATCCACCATATAAAGAGACTGAAAGACAAAAACCACATGATCATTACATTAGATGCAGAAAAGGTCTTTGAAAAAAGAATCCAACAACTCTTCACGATAAAAGTCCTAAAGAGATTAAAGATACAAGGGAAATAGTTCTTACATGATAAAAGCACACAGCAAGGCCATAGCCAACATCAACTCAAATGAAGAGAAACTCAAATCAATTTCACTAAAATCAGGAATAAGACAAGGTTGTCCACTCTCTCCATATCTATTCAATATAGTTCTTGAAATCTTAGCTAGAGAAACTAAAGGAGATCAAGGGGATACAAATTGGAAAGGTAGAAGTCAAAGTATCTTTAATTGCAAATGATATGATAGTATATATAAGTGACCCTAAACATTCCACCTGGAAACTCCTACATCTGATAAACACTTTCAGAAAAAAAATTAACACACAAAAATCAGTATCCTTCCTATATACAAATGACAAAAGGACTGAGAAAGAAATCAATGATATAACACATATCACAATAGCCTCAAATAATATAAAATATCTTGGAGTAACTCTAACCAAGCAAGCGAAAGACTTGTATGATAAAAAATTTTAAGACATTGAAAAGGGAAATTGAAGATGGTGTCTCAAAATGTTAAGTCAGGGCATTTTTCTTTCTACCTCATAGGTCCTTTGCTTATATATTGTGTCTTCCAGTTTTGTGTTTTTAACGGGATTCCTGTGTGTTTTCATGTTTATATGTGTTTGTTGTGCTCTTTCTTTGGCTCTTTTTCTTGTTTGGTTGTTCTGTCCTTTGTTTTGCTTTATCTTATTGTATTTTATTTTATCACTATTTTATTAGCCTCTACTTATCTCGTTCAGAACAAGCCTTGGCTCCAACATTAAATTCCTGGTTCTCTCTCTCTCTCTCTCTCTCTCTCTCTCTCTCTCTCTCTCTCTCTCTCTCTATTTTTTTTTTTTATATTATTATGTACACAGTGTTCTACCTGCATATATGCCTGCAGGCCAGAAGTGGGCACCAGATCTCATTACAGATGGTTGTGAGCCACCATATGGTTGCTGGGAATTGAACTCAGGACCTCTGGAAGAACAGCCAGGGCTCTTAACCTCTGAGCCATCTCTCCAGCCCCCTGCTCTTTTACTCTTTAAACTATACATTTTGTATTTCTGTTTGCCCTGCTTACTCTTTTTCAATGTAGACCTGCGTAAAAGTAGCAGGCAACCACTTTGGACTTGCTGCAAAGGCATATATGTACATCAGAGAATGAAGAATATCCAACCAAAATTCAAGAAGCCTCTATCTCAATGAAATTTCCAGAAGTCCAGTGGTATGGGGCATGTGTAGATAATCCTTTTCTAAGGTGAAAGATTAAGTTATTGTACCTGGCCCCACCCACCACCAAGAAAGAAGCACAATGGGTAGTGGACCTATTTAGATTCTGGAAACAGCACATTCATCCCTTGGGTGTGTTACTCCAGCCCACATACCAAGTGACTGTAGCTTTGAAAACTGCTAGCTTTGGGTGGGGCCTGGAAGAAGGAGAAGGCTCTCCAGCAGGTCCAGGCTACTGGGCAGGCTGTCCTGCCACTTGGACCACATGATCCAGCAGCCCCACTGGCACTTAAAATGTCAGTGACAGATAGAGATGCTGTTTGTAGCCTTTGGAAGGCCCTTATAGGTGAATCACAGAGGAGCCCCTTGGGATTTTGAAGAAAGGCTCTGTGGTAATCTGCAGACAACTATTGTCCCTTTGAGAGACATCTCTTGGCCGGCTATTGGGCCTTAATAGAAACTGAACATTTGACAGTGGTCCACCAAATCACCATTCAGCCTGAGCTTCTCATCATGAGCTGGGTGTTATCTGACCCATTAAGCCTTAAAGTAGGTTGTGCATAGCAACAGAGGCAGTGAATCTCTGAGAGTTTGAGGCCAGCCTGATCTACAAAGTGAGTTCCAAGACAGCCAGAGTTATGTAGAGAGACCTTACACCCCCTTCAAAAAAGGAAGGAAGGAAGGAAGGAAGGAAGGAAGGAAGGAAGGAAGGAAACTAGGGTGTTGGGTCCTCAGAGTGGAAGACCCAGGTGTGGCATGCTGTTTCCTGATATGCAAAATGAGGCCATCAAGTTCAGAGCAACCTACATAGGTCACAACCAGATAAAATGTAAGAAATTGAGGACATGTGGTTTGAACTCGATACCAGGAAGGATTTCTTCTCTTCCAGGACTGTTCAGAGATTGAAACTAGACCTCCAGGGGAGCGTTTCTGCTGGAATATTCAAGGTAAACCTGTTGGTAACTTGTGAAAACTATTTTGTCAAATAATGCGATGAAAAGATGCATTGGGTATGGAATGTAGAGGACTGAAGTCAGTAAACTTTAGGCCCATCCTTGTGCAAATATGTTAGGAAAGAAGGAATTGAGTGCATTTGAACACTGTCTCTTCAGTGATGGAGAAGTGACAAAGAGGGCTCTACCGGAAGGGCAGTATCTTGAGGAGCAGAAAGGAAGAATAGCATTGGTTTTGTGTCATAATGTCTGAGTTCTAATTGTCCCCACTCCGGTGTCAATTTGTCTGGATGACTTCTGGCTACCCATTCTTACCCTCATTAATAAAATGGAAAGGTTGGGCTCCCTGAGGCCATTCCTATCAAGCATTCAATGATGTTATTAACTCAAAGGCCATTCCAACTCAGGTAGCAACGATCTTATTGGTTCAAAAACAAGGGTTTTAATGACAAGCAATCATTTGATTAGTCCAAAATAAAATAGGTTTGTGAGCTTGGGAAATCGCTCAGAGGTTAAGAACACCGACTTCTTCCAGAGGACTCAGGTTCAATTCCCAGCACCCACATGCAGCTCACAACTGTCTATAACTTGGCGCCCTCTTCTGGATTTTTAAGACACTATATACATGTGGTATATAGACATACATGCAAGCAACACACCTATATCCATAAAATAATAAATTAATAATAATAATAATAATAATAAAATTTTTAAAAGAGAAGAAAATAGGTCTGATAGTGAGTACTTCCGATTTTATGGGTTCTCTGCCTTATTTTGTTTTGCCTTATCCTAATATGTTGACAACCCTCTAAAAGTGTAAAAATTAATAATTTATGAGCCATACAAAAGTGGACTGTGAGTCAAGATTTGGCAATAGTTTTTAAAAACTCTGGTTTGGGTTGGTAGCAACTCAACAAGAATAAGGTCAGTGATATAAATGGATATAAAAACCCCTGAAGAAGCATCAAGAAATAGTAAAGAAAAGGGAAATAAATACCAAACAACTAATAGAACAAGGATCAAAAGATAATCAATGAAGAAGTAAAGTTGAAAGAATTTAGAACCCAAATAAGTAATATTGGCATGGCTGGGCATGGGGATGAAGGAATATTAGCTGCCAGTGACTTCCTAAGCCAAGGAGCACAATGGGCTTGGGTGAGTCTCTGTGCAGTCCAGAAAGAATTCATTCAGAAGCCAGAATGCCCATCCCTAAAGCAAACCACCTTAAACACTTCAGGGGAAAGAGGAGTGTTAAATGAACAAGGTCCAGAGGCACTGGCTAATGGGAGAAGATTAAACAGACAGATACTAACAGGCTCATTAAGTAGCATTAACAGGACTGATTCACAGATATTTCAAAAGTGCAAACACCATAAAAATGTAAACACTTGCTGGACTGGGGTGGGGGACTAAAATAAGTCAGGTTAAGAGCACCAAGATGTTCAGTGCATGCCGGGAAAGGTGCCATCGTGTGACTAGCAAATGATGGAATCACACCTTGGCTCCAACACCTACCAATCTGAATTGGAGGGTAAGGCAGAAAGCAAGCACCATGCTTGAGGGCCTGGTATCAAGGCAAGAATTAAGACACCTACGTTCCCGGAACAGTCCCAGGGATTGCAAAATCTCAGGCAATTCACAACCACCTATCACTTCAAGTTTCTCTTTTGTAAAATTATAATTGTCATTCCTGTCCTCCCTGTCCTGTGGCCTTTTGTGTGAAGGTGTATTACCCAGCTTAATATTTGTGCCCATTTTACTTGAAAATACAAAACTTATCCAGGGCATGGACCACATACCCTGTAAGGTTAATGACAGCATAAGAAAAAACTTCCTAGAATCATAAAGACCATTCGGATTCACAGCACAATATTGGGGGAGGGGGTCATAAGAGCATGCCTATGTTATACTTGGGTAAACTGAGGCTGTGGGAAGTTCGTCCTACATCATTTAGTTCAGCTGCAAGAGAGCAAGTGCTAGAGGTGAGTAGTCTAGATACTTGTCACTGTCAAGGAAGCTAGGTATATTGATGAAGAGTTGGCCACACTGACACCACATGTGTGACACTTGAGTCTGTTATATGTGGTTTCTACAATTCCTTTATTTAAAAAAAAAAAAAAAAAAACCCCATGCTTCCTTCCTTTTCCCCCTGAACAGCTATGTCAATGAAAAGGCTAATGCCCACTATCCTTTCCTAACTCAAGAGCCCAACACAACACCTGCTGCCACAGCGGCTTCCACCTCAATTCAACCTTTAGAGGTGGCTGAAATGCTCACACACTTTGTCTAGCTGTAAGGTATGCCAGCAACATAAATGAACTTTCCGAGTTCCAGACTGTGTAAAACAAGTTTCTCTGGTTTGGTATGTCCCCAGAGTCCCAAGGGGAGACACATGTACTTCCTCTCCCCAGGACCAGGCCACTCTCTGCTCACCGGCTCCCTTCCTCATCGCTAACCCCAGATGTCCTCTTGAATCCCACCATTCAAGGCTAACCCTTCCCCAGGAGGGGGCGTTGGTTAGCTATAGGCCGCCTCAGGCACCTGAGATCTGCAGAGGCCACAACCTTCTGGCTCTAAATTATTTCTTTATTATTCAATAGAATTATTCAATAGAAACTGAATAATTTGGAGGTAGGACCGTAGCCACCTGCACTGGTCCCCTTCCTGAAGCTCCAAGCTGTGCCTTTCCTCTCCCTAACATTCTTTCCTAGTCTCTGTGATCCTCCAGTTTCTCCCTCAGCTCAGGATCTTCCCCGGGCCTTCCTGACAGGCTCCCTTTGGCACATTCCACCTTTCTACACACAGGCTCCCTGTGCTCTGAACTCCTCTCCAGCATTCCCAGGACATCCCCACTCCCCTCTATAGGCCTGTAAGCCCATCTTGCCCCTTTGTGGTTCAGCGAAACCATGGCATCTCTGTGCACCCGCTCATACCACATATTAGCCCTGGCCTTTGCAGTCCGTGTCCCAGAACCCGCACATACCCACAGCCCGACAGCCATCACCACCACGAAGTAGATGACAATGACTGAGATGTCAGCCGCATTGCGAATGCGTTCATGGGACGGGATGGGTGAATCTGTGGCGGTGACCGCGGGGCTCAAGGTGCTACTGTCCATGGCGGTGGCGACGAATCCCTCTGGCTCACTGGCTCACCGGGGCCACTCACTCCTTATAATGTCTTTGAGTTAATGATCAGCCCCAAGGGAGGGGACCCGGGACAGAGGGGCTGCGCGCTGCGCTGCACCTCTGCACCGCACTGTCGGGAAGCAGCTCCTGGTGTGCCCCGTTGAAAGAGGAGTCAGGAAAGCTGCAAGAGAGACTGCGGTGCGGGGCAGGAGCCTGCCCACAGGTAAAGGCTGTTGAGTGAGCAGGGAGGGGCCTGTTAAGGGGTGGTGCCCTTCTGGCACAAAAGTTCTCTGTGCTCCCGCAGTGGGCACCTCGCACAGGTGCCACACCTGGACTGCCCGGTCCTACGTGGGGCAGAAGAGGAGTAGCTGCACAGAGGGACCGAAGCACCTGGAGCCAGGAGTCTACCGGCTGTGACTCACCTGTGACAGGTGCAGTTGAAGCACACCAGGCATTTCTGTGAGCGAGGCTTCTCCGTGTGAAAAATGAGTGCAGGACTTTTCAGAGAACTCAATCAAGTTTTTGGTTTCCTGGAGAACATTCCCAGGAGGATGAGATTGCTGGGGAAAACCCAATACAAATCTTGGCCACCAGCATCACACTCACCCATTCCTGACTTCTCCACAGCCTGCAATCCCCAAGAAAGTGCAATCCCCAATGGAGGAGGAGGAAGAGAAAGAGGAGAAGGAGGAAGAAGAGGAGGAGGAGGAGGAGACTGGAAGAAGAGGTCCCACTAGAGTCATTTCCTTTTCACCTAAATGATTCAACCCACCATAGATGGAAATATTTTTGTACTAAATTTGTACAGGCTATTTTCTTTGTGATTCCCTAAACAATACTGTATAAAAACTGTTCATAGTTTGCACAAGGTAGTCGGTGTTACAAGTAATCCAGATACAATTTGAAGCACATGTGAGGATATGCGTGGGTTTTATGCATATTGTATGTAAGAGACTTGAATTTCAATGTTAAAGGGATCCTGGAATCAGGCCTTCTTGGATAGCAAGGGACAATTTGTAATGTACTTTGAAACCCTTTTAAAGTGTGAGAGATGTCTGGGTGTGGTAGCAAATCTCTGTGATCCCAGCACTCAGGAGACAGAGACGAAGAGATTGTGATAGGAGGCTAGGCTACGTATATGGTAAGATCCGGAATCACAAGAGTAAGGCACATAGACAAGAAGATACCAGAGAATCTCCTCTAAGGAGCTCATCAAACCCCGAGCATTGGAATAGGTATCTGAACCACAAGTCCAGGCTAAAAAACAAAAATGGCTAAAAAAGAAAGCATGATTTATCTAAAGTCACACTGTGAGCCAACAGCAACACTGGACCTGCTGCCCAAGCCGGCCCAGAGCCCAGAGGAAGGACTTCTGGAAAGCAAGCCCCAGGCTAGCTTTGGAGAAGCATGGGGTAGCACACCTGCAACATCCTAGCTTACTGTCCTCAGAGCTACACAACCTCAGCCTCTTAGCATGGGGTAGCAGGAAAAAAATGCAGGAATTCACAACTGGAAGCCAAAAGCCTGAGTTCAAGCTGGTTCCTCTACCAAAGGGCCTTAGTCACTCCTCTCTCTCAGCCTGTTTCCTCTTTAGTCAAATTGGCAGACACTCACCAGCTGATCTCTAAAAAGAGCCTGGTATCAATTCTGACTCCAGCCCCGCTCATTGGCTCCCTGGCTCTCAGTCTCATCCCTATGCACTGGAGACAAGCCTAGGCACTTGTATATCAAAAGCCTGTCAACCTCACTTTAGCCTCAATTTTACCCTCTATACATCTCCAAGGGATGGGATTTTCTACTGCTGGACAGTTATTTCTAAAACCAAGAGAAACACAACCGTTGTTATAAAGGATCAGGTTCCTCCCTGGATGCTGCTCCCAGCCCTGCTCCCCAACCCCCATGAGCCCACCTGTGCCTAGCAATCAGACATATCAAGTCAGAATTCTGTTCTCTCCTCGAACAAGAGAATGAGCCTCAGAACATACTACCTAACTTTGCAGGGACTCATTTTCCTCACTGACAAAATGGAGTTAATGATGTCTAAGGCAGATGATTCCATGTACCGGAGGCATTTCAGCACACCATAAAATATATATGCAGTGCTCAACTTTATCTTCTTCATCAAGGTCATCTCATCTGAACTCAAAGATGAATGGTTCTCATTCATTCAATGGCAAAGGGATGCCATTGCCCCCACAGAACTGGAGACAGAAACAGCCTGAGCACAAACAGTATAACTATTTCACAGTGACCATCCTTGTTTTCCCATTTCATGGGCACTGGGACTCAAAAGGTTGAGTAAATTGCCCCAAGCACCTTCAGATAAAAATGGCCAACCTGATATTCAATCAATGCACCTGCATATACTTTAACCATTACTATAGAGAGAGGGGACAGGAGGTGGCAAGTCAGTAAGTGATGCCTTAGTCCTGATATTCAGGCCACCTCCAGGCCAGGATCCCTCCATTCCTCTCCAGTGTTACTCCCATCTCACAGTTGGTCCCAGTTGTCTATAGGTCTCAGGCATCTAAATGAGCCATTAATTATGAGACTTACAAGTAAAAATTAGGATAGTTCTTTCTAGTCACCATCTTCTGGCAAATATGTTGGTTTGCTGCAAACTCGGAGTTTGAGGTGAGAAGAATAAAGAGTTCATTGACACTCTGATCCTGGAGACATCAACTGTCTGGACACTGCACACCAATGTGACTGGCACTCAACTGGTCTCTGCTCCCTCTGTGAGACAAAACAGAGAAGCAAATCCCCAGACACCTGTAGGCCTTGGCTCAGAAAGTCACCACAGCTGTCACCTGGGAGCCTGGACACACTGCCAATTCAACACCCATCAGACAACTGGCCATGAGACTGGGAACCAGGAATACAAAAAGAAAGTTTGAGTGAGGAGATTAGTCTAGAGGGGCAGGAAGGGAAGGGATAACCAGCACTAAAGGATGTTTGGGAAAGCCACATGGAAACCTGTTTACAAGCTTCCTAAAATGTATTTTTAAAAGAATGTTTAATTGGAATTCCCCTGCACGGAGGTGTAGGGCTCCCCCCAGAAGCTATAGGCTGTCAAACAAAAGGTACAGTGACAAGTACAAGACATCCCCTGTCAAATTATTGGATGGGGTCCCAGAGACCCCAAAAACAATGCAGGGAGTTGTCATTCCTCTTGGTTACCCAAGACACCACACACTTTGATTGATCACAGGACATGGAGAAAGCAAGCTGGGAATGATTTGGAAGCATCCTTCCTAATGGCTAGATGGCGTAGAGCCAGAAGGTGCTGTGCAGGCTGATGGGGGAGAAAAGTCATGAAGAGTCTCACCCAGATGTGAACCCTGTAAGATACAATAATGACAAGCCTGGAAAGATATGCCCACTGGTGCAGTAATGGCATGAATGTTATTGGGATAACCAAAAGCATTCTAATTGGAATTAAGGTGTATTCTGCAGGAGGGAACTCATACCTGGTACTATAAACCTGGCCAAGAATCCATTGGCTGGAGGTCATAGGTGCTGCTACCATTTGCTAAAGGGATATAGTATCACACTGCCTTCTAAATACTAATCCTTATACCCACTGAGTAGTGCAACTCTCATCCTCACCACAGAAGCTTCTTTATTCCACAGATGACAGTTAATGCAGAGACTTACAACTTGTCAAAATGCTCAAAATAATAATTAAAATATATATATATAAGTTAAATATAAAATATAATTAAATATTAAAATATATAAATATATATAAATTTTCACTTACATAGGACAAGAGTTTCAGGGGCTAGGGAGGTATTATTGGGGCTTTTTATGTTTCAGAAGGTCAAACCCAGGGCCTGGTACACAGTAGATGAACACCCTATGACTAACCCAAGAGTCACTATTTAATGGACACTGAGTTTCCATTTTACAAAGCAAAACATGGACCTGTATGATGGTGGTAGCTGTACAACACTATGAATATAACTAATTTTTCTCAACTATAGATTTAAATGACCAAGATGATACATTTTATTTTATATTATTGTACCACATTAAGAGAATTAATTTTAGAGGCAGGCGGATCTCTGTGAGTTCGAGGCCAGCCTAGCCTCCAGAGCGAGTGCCAGCATAGGCTCCAAAGCTACACAGAGTAATCCTGTCTCGAAAAACCAAAAGAGAGAGAGAGAGAGAGAGAGAGAGAATAAATTTTAATGACATCTAAATATATTAATACAATTAAGGAAAAATCTTTAGGCAACTGAAAAATCTTTTAAGGTGAGTGTGGAGTTGGAAACTTGTTTGTGTATTCAGCAAATGCCAGATAAGCATTGTTGTAAGCTGTGCGGTGCAAGGAGGACAGATTTACAGCCTCCACGCAACACTCAGTGGGTATCTTAAAATCCACGCAGTATCCAGTGGGTATCTTGGAATGACAAAATATTTTGGAATTAGAGGTGGGAGTTATACAACATTTGGGTATTCTAACTACCACTAAACTGTTCATTTTATAATGGATAGTTTTAAGCTGTGTGAATTTCACTTCATCCCGATAAATAATGCACAATGCATATAGCCCGAAGATAATTTTTAAAAACCTTCCTACCCAGACCATTTCTCCCCAACTTGACTCACTTTAATGTTTCTTGCATTTCATTCAGTTCCTCAGCACACCACTTGAGTTGAATGAAACAGAATTCATTTCACCATCAAAAGAGCACTCTACCCTACCTAGTATCTCATCCCAGTAATCATGCGTGGAAACACTCTCTCATTCAATATCTTATTCATTCCCTGTATCTAGAAATACAAACTTGAATGGCATGCCAGCTCTGCTTCAGGAAGGAAAGGGTGTGCGTGAAACCTGCATGCTGGTCGCTGTGCAGGGCCCTTCCTCTTCACCAGCCACTCTCATCAACTTCTAGTCCCAGTTTAAATTTCTTCCAAGGGGCTTCCTGATTTGCTTCCATCCCTAGCCTAAATGCTATCCAAGACATCCCTATTTTCATCC